TCCCTCTATTCATTAAGAGAATGTAACTATATATCTATCCTAACCATTTTGAATACACAGATACAAAATGGACATTCATCTGTATCCCCTTTTTTTTGTTTAGTTCTGATATTAGAACAAGGGATTCTTATGTGTGTGTCTTTTGCAGGTCCTAAGGCACATATTTCTGCTATAGGATCTGGGGAATTTTTTACGCTGGTGTCTTTTGGTACTGAAATCAAGGGGAGTACCCATATTCTATTTCTTAGAAACAGATACACTGTTAAGTAAAGTGTGATTAAGCAGATATGCTTTAAGTGTGATTGCACACAGTAGCCAAAGAAAGAATACCATGAATGAAGAGTTGTATATTAAATAACTAATGTTCACCGAGATGCTAAGTCAGCAAATCCAGTCTACCCTTCACCTGCTCCTATTCTGTCTGTCTCTCTCTCCCTCTCCTCTGCCCTCCTTTCTCTGTCACGTTTCCATTTTCTGTTGCCCTTGACATTAAAATTGAGAAATGTTTTAAGCAGCAAGACCTTCCTGGCTGCTGCTGGGGGAAAGGAAGGGAATGACCCGGCTCACCCTGGAGACTTGTGGCAAATTGGAAAGACTGATGACTGCTATAGAAACATCTGTCACACATTGTTATCTGCCTGTTGCACCTGAGCTCCAGAGCTGGCGTACAAAACACCAGGGACAGCAGAAAGCCTGGGCTGCCAGAGGGAGGCTCCTCGCTGGCTTGTGGGTGGGAAGTTTGGTGATGGGGATGCAGCAGCATGCGTGTAAATTGATCATGAAGTCCAGACAAGAGACACTGGGTAGATGCAGGGAAATGTGATAAGGGTTATATTTCCTTTCATTTCTGTTTATTTTAGCAGGTGGAAACACTGCAAAGTATTTTTTCTTCTAGTTCCTTCCTACCGCTTGTTTTGTATCTGTCCATCTCCCTCAGAGGAAAGAAGAGGAAAAAGGAAGAAGTATAGTTCTCCACTATAGTTGTGCTCTCCCCTGCCTCAGTCACTAACTACTTCGCCAAGATTGAATTTAGATAACCAGGAATCTTGAGTGACCTTGATGTGACATAATGAGGCAGAGCTTTTTGCAGGCATCTACTTTTGTGTGATAACTGTTTTCTTAGTGAAAGGACAGAGAAAAAATAGTGTGGTAAATTAGTTGGCGTTGAATCCTCTCCGTTCTCCTGATTTGACCAACAGCTATGCTCATGGTGGCTAAGTCTAACTGGGTTTCTCCCTTAATCACTGAGATGAAGGGTCAGCCCATACCTGTGAATTCAAGGTTTATTTACTTACTGTCTTTTTGGGACAGGGTCTCCGTGTGTGGTACAGGCTGGCCTCGAGCTCACTTTGTAGCCCAGGCTGGTTTCGATCTTGAGAATTATCCTTGTGCCTGAGCCTCCAAGTGTTAGGCTTGCAGGTGTGTACCACTGCTCCCAGTTCAGTGGTGTTTTTGATGTATATTATTGGCCTGTCCTCCCCAAATCCTAATCCCAGACCACTGATGAACTGACTGAATATTTAGATGTACTATCTCTTTATGCCTCAAGTCTATGTGTGTAAATCAGTTTACTCAGTACTTAGGAGGCTGAGGCAGGAGGACTGCTATGAGTTCAAGGCCAGCCTGGGCTACAAAGTGAGTTTAAGACCAGCCTGAATGGCTTAGTGAGACCCTTTCTCTAAAAAAAGACTAAATCAGTAAATCTCAGTTCAATCACTTTGCTCTCAGGATAGCCATTTTCTGAGTCTGGCTCAATGCTGCACCTTTTCCCTTTGCTTCTTCCCTATTCTGTCAGTTAAGCCCTATTGGTCAGTCTTTCCTCCATAATGTCATTTTCTTCTATTTCTCCCTTCCACTCCCAGCCAGCCCAGACTTTCATCACCTCTGCCTAAGGTCCTGCAGGGCACGCCCTATGGCCTCACTGTCACAGCTCCCAGAATATGGCAGCTTCCTGCTCAGAAACCTTCAAAGACTCTATGACCTCTCAGTGAAGGCCAGATCTGCTTACCTGCTACCCAGTGACCACCAGGATATTGCCCAGCCTCCTGCCCCGTTTCCTCCTACTTGTGCCCTCTGGTCTGCTCGTGGTTGCTAAGCCTGCTACATCTTTGCTCCTTCATGGCCTTGCCTTTTCCACATGGAAGTCCCCCGTCCCTCCTCCCCACTGGATGCCTATATGTGCATCAAGGAACAACTCAGGTGACACTTTCCGTTGGCCACCCAAACCCATAGTAGCCTCTCCCTTCTCTGAACTTCATGACACTGACATTTCTGTACCTTTCCTTTTATGTTCTGATCTCAGTTGTATCAGGAGCTCCTTTAAAGAGACTGTGTGTTTTGATTACTCAGAGGCAAACTTTGGACCTGAAATGCTTTAATATATCCTGGAGGATAGTTTTTAAAGCCTTCAACGGTATGTCTATCTTATATTGTAAAATTTCCATTCCATCCAGATGTACTTGTCCTCCTTCCTCTTCCTCATAGATAAATAAAGCAAGGGACATCTGCACATAACAGCAGTTGGCTGTCTTTTGTGTCACTAAATTATGTCAGCTGACAGATGAAAGAGGGAGAAAAGGGTTGGCCACACAGTGACTCAGTGCCCTTGTGATTGATTTCACTGAGTATTTTTTCACTGGTGATAGGGTCAAGAGTCCGCTTAATATTGACCAAGTGAGAAGACTTCAGTAATTGTTCTATTTATGTGTCATTCAAGTCTGATATGAGATCGTAGGACATCTAACAAAATTGCCCCTGTATATATATGATCAACTATGATTCATAAAATACACACACACACACACACACACACACACATATGAAATACAGGAGAAGGGAATTCTGTCAGGTAAATTATGGAACTACTGAACAAAATCTCTTTTGCAATGCACATTAACAATGGAATATTAATGGAATGGAATGTAGTGTAATGGAAACACTCTAGGCTCGGCAGTGGCCTTCAGTCTAGCTAGGCCGTATTTTTCCCTTCTCATGGATTTCAAGATTTATTTATGTTGACTGCCTGGTTCCTGAGAGCACTGGGACTTGTACTCCTTGATCCCGGATGTCAGTAAGGAGGCAGTCATGGTAATATTTAACGTATCCAAGGAGATCTTCACAAGGATGTTGAGGAAACACCTTGAACTTAGTGCTTCCAAAAGTGAACAATTGCCCTTCCAAGTCTGCTCCTTCCAGTTTTTTCTCTCAGTAGGTGACCAATCTGCCCATCTGGTTGGTATACGCAAAAACCTGAGAGTCATTCTATATTTTTCTCCCCTACACCCTGCTTCTATACCATTCATTAGCAAATCTT